CCAACCCCATCTCTGGCCTCTCTGAGCAGCAGCAGGTTGTTCAAGGCCAACAGTCAGAAAACAGACCAGACCAGGTCTGGTTTGGAGATGTGACAACTGGCCATGTTCCCTCTTCTCCATCCTCACCTTTCTCAACAACCATGCCTGGAATTGCCATGGAAGTAGGAAGAAAGGGAGCTGAGTCCATCTTAAAAGTTACCATTATCATCTCAGAAAGCTTTAAAGGACTTTGACTTAAAACCAGGCAGCAGGGAGATGTCTCCCAGAGACACCACAGAGCAGACTGCACTTCTTACCTTCCACGGATGTCAAGTGAACTTCTGTCTTCAGCAGAACAGGGTCACCCCACGTTGAGAGTGCAGGTGACTTGGCATGCTTCTCCCCATACACTTCTCCTGGAGCAAGAACACAGGGTCAGGACTGCCTGGAAGGGCCCAGCCCCATTTGTCAAGGCATACCAGGGGCTGTCAGCCTGAGGGACAGCTTGGCACCTTTTCCTATTGGCCTCTGGCAAATTGCTGAAGGAACACGCTCTGCCTCCATACCCTCCTCACCCCAGGAACGGAGCTGCCACTCTCTGGGACTTGTTCCCTGCTCACAGAGCCTGTTGGGGATGGGCTGGGTTTCTCTTCACCTGGCTTCTCCCAAAGAAAGAAACCACAAAGCCTCTCCCAGCCTGTGCAAGACTCACCCCCCTTCTTCCCCACAAAGGTCCACATGTCTCTCCAGCTCAGGAAAGGTGCAACTTGGCTTCCCAGGCTTTTCAGGACATTCTTGGCTGTCTCCTTGAGGTGAAAGGAGCCTTCATCCTGGAACAAAACACAACCCAGCAGCTGAGGTCTGCCTCTTGACAGGGAAATCTCCCATCCATACCAAAGGGGTACAGGGCCCACTCCTACCCTTGAACTAGCTGAACCAGAAACCTTCAGGGTTTCTGTGCCACTAAAGCTGTCAGTGGCTTCATAATGGCCACAGGCACGTCAGAACAATCATGAACTCCTGTTTCCTTGAGACCAAATTGCTCTCAAGAAGGGCCATGTGTTAAGCAACACTTCACACAGCTAAACACAAAAACCTTGAAGCAGCACAGTGCTGCTTGCACAGCAGCCCAGACCTACCATAGTCCACAGGGCCCCTGTAAAGCCTGGAACTGGGAGATGGAAGGATCCCACCACATCCTTATATTTCCTCACATCCATTCTCCACCTAATCCCTTGCCTATTGCTGTGGGCTCTGACACATCTGTGTTTTGCTCTCCTGCTTTGCTGGGCACAGCAGTACCTACAGCAAGAAGGGAGAGCAAGGGGACAAGGGAGGTGATCCAGACAGGGAGTCACAGCTCCATGGGCATGTGACATTTAGTCCTGGGAATGCTTGGTGACATTTAGGAGACTACTGCCCAGATGAGCTTCAGGACATCCTGACTCAAGACGAATTTTTTTTTTTTTTTTTTTTTTTTTTTTTTTTTAGGGTCACACCTACCTTAATGGTGAAGATTAGGATCCGGCCCCGGGCAACCATGTTGAGGAAAAGTACCATGGCTTCATCTTCGTGGGGGGAGTAGGTGTCAAAGACCCTCTTGGCCATCACATGTCCCTGTTGGTATTCATAGGTCAGATGGATCTTAAATACTACATGGTATGGACACACAGAATTATGGAGATGTGCCCAGGAAGCCTCAGTCCCTGCGCAATACAGGGAGTGGCTTTTCCGGTATGCCAGGGAGTTAGTCCCCAGGCAAGCTCAGCCCTCAGGCCTTCCTGCACAGAGGTCCATGGGAAGCATCACCCAGCCTCACAACTCCTCCCCTGCCTGCTCCCCAAGGACAGCAGGCAGCACAAGGAAACCCTGCAGGGACTCTCTGGATGACCATGCCATGCTCTGCAAACTGCAGACAAAAAGCATTCAGAGCCTTCCCTCCTGGCTGCCCCTGGCCTCAGAGAGCCAGCAGTTCAAGAGCAAGGACAGACTGCCCAGTATAGAAAGACACGGGGATGTTTTACCGTGGCCTGATTTAAGACGATGACATGGATCCCTCTTCCCTGCTCCCGAGCCTCATCTTCCAGGACCTGCAAGTGGATACATGAGAATCACATGTCACGACCTCTTCTTATTCCCTGCCCATTCTGTGCAGCAGAGCCCCCAGACAAGAGGCAAATCTCTGGCTTTGCTGACTGCAGTGACGGGTGCCAGAGCAGAAGTCCTGGAAGCAGAATTTCTTGCCAGTCACTGAAGTGCTCTCACCACTGTTGTTTGTGGCTTCACCCGTCCAGCTCTGCCACCCTCTGCTCACAGGACAGCCAGCACCTGTCACTCACCGTGGTCCCATCCACAGCCACATAGACCTTTGACCGGCTGGAGTACACCTCAACATCCAGGACCTTCTTGTTGTTGACAGGATGCCTGGGGACCTCCACATTCAGCATCTCGTCATCTACAGCAGAGAAATTCCCAGTTTCAACCAGTCAAGGCACCTCTAGCTTGTCCCTGCTCTGTGCTAACCCATCCAGAAGGGTGTGCCCAGCAGGCAACCCAGGCCAAGGAGTCATGGGTCGGAATTTACAGGGATGGTAGGTAAGGGGAAATACCAAATGACAACAGCTCTGACCCCACAGAAACCTCTGCAGCCAAATGTGCTAAAGCCTTCAGTACACAGACCAGGATGGGAGCAGCATTTTCTATCAATTTTTGTTAAACCCACATGCACAGACCTGTTTTTTGTGATGTAGCTGGTCACAAGTTAGTCCTGACTTAAAGAAACCCTTAGCTTCCTTGCTTTCAAAGCACAACAGGATACTGCCCCTCACCATAGTCCTGTGCAGACTCCTCTTCCTCCTCATAAGCAGCTCTCCTGGTGTCCAAGATCAGCTTGATGTTCACAATTACAGTCACAAGCAGGAAGAGGACAGCACCTGTCTGCAATGCAAGATGTTTTGTGTTAGAAATTTTTAAGTAACAACCCCAAAACCAGCCCGCCTTGGCAGGGGCTGCAGGGCATCCCAAGGAGATCCTGCAGAGGATCACAAGCATCTGACATTTCCCCTGATTTTTTCTGAGGAAAGCAAAGACAAAGAACTACAGGTGACTGAGTTTCATGATGAAATGCATTCATCATCTAGGGAGCACTGACTCCTTGATATGTGAGAATTAACCCACTTCCAGTGTATCCCTGCTTCCAGATCTGTGAGCAGATTCCTGCTAAATTATTGCATCAAGGTTGAGGGTCCCTGCAGGCGAAGAGTTTGGTAATTCAGAGTTACAGCTCCCAGGGTAACCTTAACTTCTGCCTCTGCTGCAGCATCACTACTCTCATCCATCCCTATGGAACCAGAGGATGCACTCAGGGGAGAGGAGACCCTGTGCAGCTGAATCAAACAAAGGGAAGAAGCTGAGGTCTGATTTCAGGAAACTGCACTGTACCACAGGCTGCAGAGACCAGCCTGCAGCCTTACTGTCTGCAGCAAACTTCAATTGCAACCCTTGTGGATGCTGACACAGAGGGCTTGGGAAGGTCCAAGGGCTCTGGAACAGACCCTTGATTCCCTGAGGTCATTAATGGGGCTGGGATCACACACTGGCCTTGGTGAGAGGCACTAAAAGGATTTCTGCCCTATCTGTCCAGCTACTGCCTCAAAGCTCCGTGTTCCTGCTATCCCTGCCAAGCAGGTCCAAGGAGTAACTGAGGAAAATGGAAAACCAGCAATAAGACAACACGATGGTATAAATGTCACTATGGCATTTTGGCTTGTTAATTTGCTGTTGACTCAGGACTATGAACACCTTTTGGGATCTGTGAACAGAAAGCTTTTAATTAAGCATGAACAGAGCTGTGAGCTCACGGAGAGGCAGCGAGGCCACCTCACCAACCTGCCCAGACCTTCTGCCCTCAGCAGGAGGGAATAGCCCTGGTGACCAGAGCAAATAAGGCAATAAGGAATAAGAATTAAGCAAAACCAGCAGCCAGGTCTAGCAGAGCTGGCTTGGTCAAAGCTAACTAATGAATGCTTGGCTGCTGCAGACCTGGCTATTCCATACATTTAGCTCTGGTCTAACTATTTTAAGCCAAATTTTCATCTATGTTTTAAGCAGTGCCACAAAGTACAGAGATGTGTGCAGGCTCTAGCCCGTTGCACCAGCATAGTGAGCAATGCCTGCCTGAATGACCAGACCCATTCCCAAGCCTTCAATGCCCTATCAGACACAGAACTGAGCAGTCTTCTTGCCCAGAGAGCCCTCATGAGCCTTTGTCCTCCCAGGCACATGCAAAACCCTCCCCTGCTCCCTCCCACAGCAACCAACTGCCAGATCTCATGAGCTCCTCTCAGGAAAGGCTCCTTTTCTGTGTTTTGCTGCCATGGGCCCAAACCTTCCTGTCCTTACAACCCCAGACTGCCCCCAGGGCGCCGTCTCCACCAAGGATTAGCTGTTTTACAGCACAAGCAACCAAGCCTGAGGCTTTCCCAGACACCAGCTGCATCTGGGGCATGAGATCCTATTACCAAGCCCTATTTTCTCTGTCCACCTGTTGTGCCTTATACCAGGCTTGGTTTGCAAATCAAACAGCCAAAGGCTGAGCCCTGCAGCAATCAGCATGGGTCCAGAGCCAGGTTTCAAGTTGAAAGCTTCCCAAGGCCACCTGGATAATTGTATCTCCTCCCACAGCCAGGTCTCAACAGGTCTGCTGGCAGCTGAAAGGAGCTGCTACACATGGCAGACCCTTCCACACACAGGCACTTGGAGGCAGCTTCTTAGGAAACAAGTTATGCTTCCTCAGCATGTCAGGTCACCCAGACTGCCAGCAGACGCACTTCCACCCATGCAGCTGCTCCATAAACTTGTAAATCCTGTAGATTATCCTCCCTAATCTGCTGCAGGGCCGCAGGTGACTCACCTGGCACAGCTTCCGCAGCGCGCGCTGGTTCATCAGCTTGTACTTCCAGGCCAGGTACCAGCTCCGCTTCTTGTGGGGCTTCACAGCCGGGTTGGGATTCCACTCGTCCATGGTCCCGGGGGCTGGCACGGGGGCAGCCGTGAGGGGCAGGGGTCAGGATGTGTGCTGCTCTCCTCTCATGTCCATCGGGGCTCCCTGCCGGGATGGATGCAGGGTGAGGGAGCTGCCTTCAAACTCTCTCCCCAGCAAAGACAGAGCCAGGCACAGGCAGCGGCTGTGGACTGCACTGAGGTGCTAAGAGCAAAAGCCCTTTGGAGCCTCCCTGCCTGCCAGAACTCCTGCTGGGGGCAGTGCGGGAGGCCAGGCTTTGCTGCAGGGTGAGGGGAAGCCCCTGAACTCATCGGCCAGTGGCTGCCTCTGCTCCGGGCCAAACACTCAGCAAGGCTGCTGCAGTGCCAGGGGCTCACTCCCACGCTCTGGGAAAGACAAGCAGCCCAAAGACACAAGCAGCCAATAGATCCATCAGTTGTTATGGAATGGGCCTCACTGGCCATAAGTGCCAGCGCGGTCCCTGGTGGAGAGACACCCTCCACACCAACAGCCCCATGCCCGCTATCGGGGTGCAGCCAGCCGGACACGGGAGCAGCACCGGCCCAGCGCCCTAGTGGAGCTTCCCGCACCCCCGGGCAGCGGGGCTGTGCCAGCGGGAGGCCGGGCGCGCCGCGGGGAGCGAACCGCTGGGCCTGGGCGGGATGTGGAGCCCCGGCAGGGCCAGGGACCCGTCTGGAGCACAGCGCGCCCCAGCAAGGCCAGGCGGGGCGGGGAGAGGAGCGCTCAGGGGCCCACAGGCACTCGGGGGGCGGAGGTGGCGAAGGGCACCCAGGCGCTCCGGGAGAGCCGGGTGTCTGAGGGCGGCAGCGAGCGGCGGCGCGGTGAGGGGGACCCAGGCGCTTCGGGACGGCGGGGAGGCCGGGAAGGGCCGGAAGGCGTGTGCCGGCCGCGCTACTCACGGGGGGGCTGAGGCGGGGCCGGGCTGGGCTGGGCTGCGCCGCCCGCGACACCCGCGCCGGCCCGCGGTGCCCACCCGCCGCTCGCCGAACGCCTCCGGACGCTCCGCCTCGAGCTGGTGAGTGCCGCGGTACCGGGAGCGCTGCCGGCCGCCCCCCGGTAACTGACCGTCCCAACCCGCGGGCACCGCAGCCACCTCGGGCAGCCGCTTGCCACCCCCGGTGACAGTCCCCAAGAGTGCCCGCGCTCTGCCTGCGTTTTGGGGAGCCCCCCTTGCTCCTCCGTGTACCCAGCTCATACCCCTTCCCCGGCCGCTCTCCGCCCCCGGCCCACCCAGCATCCACCCCCGGGGTCCCCCTCGGCCGCCTCCGTCCTGGCCCCTCGCAGCCCCAGGCGCCGGCTCCGTCTGGGATCGCGGTGTCCGGGATCAGAATTTAGGGCTGGCACCTTCGCCAAGGGCATGGTGGTGGATCTTGTCTCCCCCGGGTGTGACCCCCAGGGTGACAAGGCACTGGGAGCTTTCCCGGGGTTGGTTCCTGCGGGGGCTTCTCGGGTGGCTCGTAAGGGCTGTGCTGCAGCCTCTGCCGGGGACGGGGCAGTGCCCGTGGCAGCTTCCTCGCCTCCCTCTTTCGTGGAGCGAGCAAAGAGCGGCGATGCCTGCGCCTCCGGGAAACGTGGCGAGGTTGGGCAATGGGTTCAAGTGCAGCTGGGGGAAGGGACTCTCCCACGCATGAACATGCCGAGCGGGTGGGAATGAGCATTGTTTCCATAGGGGAACAGGCTAAATACGCCCGCATCTCCCTGCGTGCCCCCGGGGGGCTGCAGCACCACCCAGCCGGAGCCCTCCGCTTTGGCTGATTCAATATTCCCGTCGGTGCAGGAGCTTTCATCCTCCCTCTGCCTTCATCCTCCCTCCGCAGCGGCTTGCAGGCTGCACCCTGACCGGAGGAGAAAGGTCTCTGGGGCAGCCCGGTGTTTGCCCTGCCCGGGTGCAAGCAGCCTCAGCCTGTGGCCAGCAAGGCCTGCCCTGGGCCGGGCATTATTCACCTTGGCTCAGAAAGGCATTTCCTTGCCCTGCCCTGGCTCTTCTTGCTGGCCTGTGAGGAAGTGGGGACAATTTACACCTAGGTCAGCAGCTTGGGATTGGAGCCCAGGTGCAAAAACCCAGCACGGGGCTCTTCTCCTCGCCCCATCCCCATGAACAGGGACCAGAATTCCTCCCTCCCCCCCCCGCCCCGAGCAGCAGGAAACCAGCAAACCCGATGCTCAGAGGATAAGCTGGCCTGGGAGTGGGCGGTGGGAGGAGAATTTAGCAAATTCCCACTCTCGCCTCCTGATCTGAGGAGAAAGATTTATCCCTAGGGCTAGATATCTTGAAAGGAGAAGGCGCCTGAGGTTTGTTTTGTGCTGGGGAGGGGAGCAGGGCTGTGCCTGCCCATGGAGAGCGTGAGGAGGAGTGTGACAGTCCCCTGTACAGCTGTCCTTGGTGCGAGGTCGTGCAGTGAACTTCAGTGCATCTGGAGGAGTACAGAGAGCAGCCTGTGCTGGGTTTCCTCCCACAATAACCATGTCTTGCTGGAGAGGGGGTTTCTTGGAGTGCAGGGGGGAGGTCAGGCTGGTGTGAACTAGCAGCAAATTGATGGCTAACTCCTTCCAGCAAGCAGTATGGAAAGCAGGGAGTGTTATCCCACCCTCTGCTTTTGGGTTGGCTCCCCGGGCATCTCTGACAGCTGCAGTTCTGCACGAGGCAGAGAAAAATGGGGAACCCCCCACCAGGGGTTTCCAGCTCTCCTCCTCCTCCGTCGTCTCCCTGCCAAGGCCAGATGCTTTAGCAGTGCGTGCAGAAAAGTCCATTGTAGGCAGTTTTTTAAATAACTTGCCTAGAAAGGAAATTTCTCTACTTGGAAGCTGGCTCCTGCCCCAATCCGGGCACATCCCTGCTATTTTTTATTTAAACCCAGCTTGAGGAGCATGAGGAGGGGGTGGGAGGGCTGGTGTCGGGTCTTTACAAATCTTTGACCCTTTTTTTTCTGTCGTCTGGAGTGAGAGGTGTCACGTGCTGAAATCCTGCCTGGAGTTTTCCCAGGCTCCTTCCTGGGATGCTGCTATGGCTGCTCTGGCTGTGGGACCGGAGACAGGGGTCTCAGGAGACTGTGGGGTCACCCGTGGGCGGGCAAGTGACTCCTGGGGTACCGGATGCTGAGGATCAGGCGCTGTGCTTAAAAATGATCCCTGGGGAGCACATGGATTTCTGTCCCTGCTTGCTGATGCTGGGCACAAGATGTGTTTGTGAAGGAGTCCATGGGCATCTGCAGGCTGCCTGTACGTGCCCTGCAGTGGGTTTTCTCCCTTTCCCCCCATCGTGGCCTTATTTCCTTTCCTGGCAAAATATTTGCGTCCTGTGTAGGGGAAATCCAGTGGCTTTTGGCGGCCAGTATCATACAGACAGGAATGTCTTGGCACACGGGGCTTTCCATTAGGAAAACAGATGTTTCTGCAGCAACTGAGGTTTGCAAAGAGCTTCCCCAGTCTCGGAGGGGCAGGAGTCAGTGAGGCAAATGGTCTGATCAGCAGTGCCTGTCCTCCTTGTCCTCCCATTTTGGGAGTGATTTGGGTCTCCAGATCCTGCCATGTAACATTGTCACCAGGCTTGGTTCAGACCCTAGAAGGTGAGAAGTAAAGGCATGAAGGGACCAGCCTGAGGAAGTGCTGGTGGTCCAGCCAGTCCAGACAGTTGCACTGAGCAATGTCTGATCGTCTTGCCCTGCCAGCAGCCTCCCAGGTCTTGGAGGATGCTCTGGGATCAGATCTGCATCCAATACCTCCAGTTCCTTGCTTACTCCTTATTCCCATAGAATATAGCAACAGAAGTGCCCTGGATTTAGTTCCCTGAGGAGGTTGGTGGCTGGTGGGGGCCATAAGTTGTTGGTCACCAATGGCCATGTCCCCAGGTCTTGGACAGGACCCCCTGGGATGGTTCCCTGCAGGATGTTCTCCCATATAATGCTTTTCATCAAGCAGCTTAGGAGACCTGTGGCCACCACAGTGCCACCTCTGCTGGGCTGGGACATGAGTCCCCTGGGTCACCTCAACCCCCCTGTGCTCTGTCTCCCCCCCAGGCCTACCTGCGAGCGGTGGACGTGAAGATCCTGCAGCAGCTGGTGGTGGTGAACGAGGGCATCGAGGCGGTCAAGTGGCTGCTGGAGGAGCGGAGCACCCTGACCAGCCGCTGCAGCAGCCTGGCCAGCAGCCAGTACAGCCTGGTGGAGAGCCAGGAGGCCTCACGGAGGGGCAGCTGGGACAGCCTGCAGGACCCCAACGACAGGCTGGACAGCATCTCCGTGGGCAGCTACCTGGACACCTTGGCTGATGACATGGATGAATACTCCCACAACGCTGCTGAAAGCGCCGCTGCAGCCACATCGGGCAGAGCCCCGGCCAGGGCAGAGCAGGATTGGGTCAGGATCGACCTCGAGAGGGGTCTTGCAAAGCAAGAGAAGGACACAGAGGAGCACGAGTGGCCCCACGTGGACCTCTCCCCACCTGGGTTGCCCCAGGATCACCGGTTTGCTGAGGAGCCCCAGGTGGCCAATGGGTATTTGGGCCAGCAGTCCCCCTCTCTGGAACCAGACAGAGACACCAAATCACCACCAGGGGCCAGGGAGAAGCTGGGGAAGGGAAATCCAGATGGGAAGGCTTGGAAAGCTGAGGCTGACCTTGAGAACTGCAAACTCAACAGCAAACTGCACCTGGAGTACGATGCCCACTGGCGCTGGCTCCAGTCACAGGATGATGTGACATTCTTATAGCCCGTGGCTTTGCCTTCCCAGCCCAGCTCTCCCAGCTGCCCACTCTGCTTCACTTCTCTGTGCTTGGGAGAGTTGGGGTGGCTGAAAAGGGGGGCCAGGCTGGCTTGGTGGGTTGCACTGTTCCTCTGATGGCCCAAACAGCATTTGGTGATGCAGCCATAAGGGACTGGGTGCCTGCCCTGCAGCGCATTTCGGGGAGAGGAGGGGTGAAGTGGGTCCTGGTAGATTTAATCCTTTGCTCTAGGGTGTTGCTTGCAGGTGGCTGGATGCCCCTCTGTTGTCCTTGGTGGTGGTGGGGAAACCTGGAACAGTGGTGTTCCTGGGATCTCTCCCTCTAATCTTCAGCTTCGTTTGTGCAAAAAACTGGAGACCCTTCCCCCAAAATGACTACCCTGGGAGGACAGGAGACACTGCCATGCAGCCACAGCTTGGTGGCACCAGCATGCTCAGTGTGGGGCAGGACCATCAGCAGGGCATCCCTGTTGGATCTGCTCATTTCCATCATTGTCTTCAAGGCCAGTGTCCATCCAGGGCAGAGCAGACCTGGGGTTTGGCCCCAGCAAGAGGTGGATGCAAAAACACCCTTCCCTGCCTGGTTTAGATGCCTCTGTGAAGGCAGTCAGAGGTGGGGCTGGGGAGCCTCTGTCCGTGCTCTGCAGAGGAAGGATGATGGTGCAGGCTTCCCCATGTGATGACATGAGAACAACAAAGCACTGGGTGGGAAATGGAAATCCAATTCTCCCAGTTTGTTCCTGGGCTGTCTTCCACCTTGGGAGCAGTCCTGCAGGATCCCTGGGATGTGGCAGCACACGGGCAGCCTGGCAGAGCCTGCGGGGCTCAGACTCAGAGAGGCTCCTGCTCTCCCCTGACACGGTGTGGTGGTGGGGAAGGCTGGGTTTCTCTGTCTGTGGGATGAATGGTGCCAGGTCTCTGCCTTCTACCAGCAACCAGAAGCATGAGGCTGCTCTGTCAGGGTGGATTTGCAGTGACTCTGCCCTGGAGACATCTCTCTCTTCTTAGCCTTGGCTTCTGCCTGTGCCTTTAGCTGTCCCCACCATGCCTCCCAGCACGCCCCTCGCTGGCTTGTAGAGCATGGCTTGCAGCTGGAGCTGTGTGAGAGCTTGGGCAGGATCTTCTGCCTTCACCAGATGATGCAGGAAAGGACCTGAGCATCCTGATTCAAGGAGCCAAGCTCTTCCACATTTGCAGATAAGCCTGGAGTGTCCTGACTTCAGAACCCATGGGTACGTCTGTCCCCAGCCAAGTGCTGTGACAGCTTTGCTCTCACCATCATGCTGTTGTTCCCTTTCCTGCGTGGGTCACAGCTTGGATCTGTCCGTGCTGGGATGGCAGGAGTGAGGACATTGTCTCAGAATGTCAGTGGGAAGCTAAGAGAGAGGGAGGTGACTGGCTGTGACTTTGCAGATGAGAGCTGTGAGCTGGCTGTGGTTAGGAAGGTGGTAGGGTGCACAACAGGTTCGGCTTGGTGTCTCTGAAGCAGCACCTTCAGTGGAAATTACCCTCTGTTCTGAGAGCCCCAAGCACCCTCCCTTCCCCTGCAGATCATCAGAACCTCCCTGGATGGATGTGGAGAGCAGGACAATACCCAAAATTCTCAGAGATGGTACCTGCTGAGGACCTGGGTGAATCCCAGCAAACTGGGAATGGGTTCCCTTATGCAATAAGCATCCATCTGCCTGCCCTGGAGCAGCTGTGCTTGCCTTGCCATTGCCTGTGAGTAGCTTGTGGCTCCCTGCTGACACTGAGCCACCATGTCCCCAAGGCTGGCTGTCCCCTGCTTTCCTGCTAACCCTGCATGCAATGAATCTGCTGAGGGTCCCTGGGGGAGACAGGGTAAGTCCTTTGGCACTGTTAAAATAATTCTCAGCAAAAAATAGCTGGCTTAATAAATGTTTGTGATTCTCCCAGGCCACGCTGTCGGTGCTTTGCTGAGCTCACTGGTGTTTCTAGGGAAAGGGGAGAGGCTGTGGGGTGGAATGCCCTGGAGCCTCTGGCAGCCCTGCAGAAGGGCAGGTTTAGCCCCAGCCCTGAAACAGGCACAGTCCAAGTGTCTGGGCATCTGTCCCTTCTCACATCAGTGATAAAAGTCACTTTTCCTGAAGCAGCTGGGTACCAGGGCACATCTGCTGGGAGCAAGGGTGACTGTATTGATCTTGGCTGGACTATGTGTCAAACAGCACCTTCATGCTTCCGGCCCCATATTTCCAAGGAAGATCATTTTAGGTGTTTGCCAGCTCTGTTAGCTGTGCTGGAGTCTTTGCCTCCTGTGTTCTGCAGTGGCAGCTTTGGCTCCCATGGCTTCCTCCACCCAGGAGGTGCAGCGTGGATCTGGGTGTAGAGCAGAGACTTCTCCAGCCCAGCTGGGGTGGGAGCAGCACAGCTCTGATATCAGGCTGTTGGGATTTGCTCCTGGGTGGATCCCTTTAAAACCACTAGAGCCAGTGCTCATGCAAACATCAGCTTTTCCAAAGCAAATGCAATCGGCTTATGCAGCCCTGCCATCCCAGCCTCAGCATCCCTTCCGGCTCACGGCCTTGACACCGTGAGCGTTTGCAAATGGGGACTTGGCTGGAGCCAGCAGGACTCAGCAGGATTTCCCCACTTTCTGCTGGGCTGAGGTAAAAAACAGAATGTTTTTTCTTCTTTTCATGAAGAATACCTTAGACATAAAATGCCCAGCCTACTCCTCTTACAAACCTAGACCTCAGCAGTTGGATAACCCTTGTATTGCTGCAGAAGAACTTTTGCTGGGGCTTCCCTGGCCACGGACTCTTCAGCCTGGCTTACATCAGCCCAAGGTGCCCATAGTCACAAAATCTGTGCATCTCCCAAATCCCAGCCCTTGGAGCTGGAGGAGTGGATGGGACCTAGTGGTTGTCTCCCTGCTCTGTCTCTGGGCTGTCTGGGTGGAGGATCCCAGGCATGTGCGGAGCCAACATTCCAGACCTCCCCTGGGAAACACCCAGGGACTGCATCTGGCTGAAAGGTGGGTGCAGCAATGGGGTGCAGAGCACCTATGGAGCCCACAGCACTGATCCACAGTCTTTCTCCTGGCGTGCCTGGCCCTGGCCCTGCCTGCTGCTGCCCTTGAGCTGCTCTTGGGCTGTTCAGTGCTGGTATCAGGTAAGAAAACAAGCAGATAAAGCAGGCGGGATCCCAGCCGTGCCAGAAAACACCCACCTCTGTTACAATAAAAACACTAGCCAGCCAATTTTTTTTCCAGATATACACAGAGATTAGAGTGCCTTAACGAGGCAGTAAAACACTTCAATAGCTCTCCTTGCTTGTTATTAAAATGTCCCCTGGGCTTTCCCTTGCCTGCGTTCGGCTCAGCTCCGAAAGGGCCTGTCCCCAGAGCAATGCAGCCATTTAAGCAATTTCTGTTAGTTCCTGTGGGAAGGAAGCATGAAAATATCCTCTTCTCAGGGGAAAAAGAGCATGGTCCCCATGGTCGGAAGGGAGGTGGCCGAACTCCGTGGCCCTTGGTCTGGTGGCCCCACACCACCCCATGGGCTCACTGGCATGGGGAGCATCACTGTGGGGTGACCCTGGGAGTGGGTGCAAGCACTGCCTGTGGGGCTGGATCATAGTGCCCCCACCCTCCTCTTACTTGGAGATTGGTCTGGTTATCTGTAACCCTTTCTGGGGAGCAGCGCTGTGAGCAGAGCTCTGGTTTTGTGCTGCCTGACCCGCTGCAGACTGTGGGGCAGGAGAGGCCAACAAATGGGTCAGGAAAGGCTAAGTGTAGCCCCCAACTCCTGCTCTCAGCCTGCCCTGTTTTGGCAGTGGGGATGTTCTGATGGTCTCCTGGGCAAGGCTGAAGTGTTGGTGCTGGCTGTAGCAAAGTGGTGATACCCAGATTCCCAGGAAGAGCTCCATGATGCCAAAGCTGCCTCCAATTTAGGACAATTTAATTCAGTCCACTCCTTTGGGGCATGGTACCCAGGCTGGCCCCATCAGCCAGCTCTCCAGCCAGCACCCCGCACCCAGCCTGCTCCCCACAGTGCCCAGGAACCCCCAGTGCTGGGTTAAATCAGCCCAGTGCAGGATTCTTATGTCCTGGCTTCCAGCTTTTCCTTCCCACTGCCCCAGGTTCACAGGTCTCCAAAGAACCTCCTACAGGTTTTGTGCAAAGAGGAGAACGAGAGACATCCCCCCTCCCTGTGCCTGTCTTCAGCTGAACCTCTACAACACCCTGGAGGAGCCACACCACACAGGGGATGCTCTGCCCAGGGAAGCTCAGACACCAAGTGGGGTCTCCTGGTAACCTCCTGCCTCCTCTCCACCTTTGGGAACCTCCTCCTGAGATTCTTGGTGTCTGCAGTTCAGTGAGTGGGAGGCTGCTGAACAGGGGTACAAAGTCACAGTGTGAACCAGGAAGGAGCTGAGCCTTTGGGAAATGCCTCCCCAGGCTGTTTGTTCCCTGCCAGGGGCTGGCAGCAGGCCAGGCCTTTGCTTTGGAGAATAATCCACTGGCTTTAGAACCTCCCAGCACTCTTTGGGAGTGAAAAACAACTGTGACTGCTCAGGGCCTCGTGGGTGTGTGGCATGGCTGGGTGACAAGGACAGGCTCAGGACTTCATTCCCTGCCTTTTCCAGCCCAGCTGGGGACACAGCTGTCCCCTTCCTCCTCGCTGGGTGCTGGGCACCCCCCCGGCGCATCAGCATCCCTGATATGCCACCTCCTTCCCACTTCCATCACCCATTGCTGGGTGAGAATCCCCCTACACTTCCCATGCAGGACTTGGATCTGGGGACGTCCTTCTCAGTGCCACGCCAGGGGTGACAACCAAAACATGTGTGTCCCCAGGAGATGAGTGTGCTCCTGCCACCAGCTCTGCCTCAGTCCCCAGCAGGGAGCAGCAGAAAAATCTGAATTGCTCTGCTGAGAAATTAATCTTCTTTCCCTGTCTTAGCTCAGCCTGACCTAGAAGAACCACACCCCCCCGGGTTGTTTTGTTTTTCCCTCTCTGGGGTGTTTAAAGGGAAAATTACAGCAAATGTACTGCAAAGAAGCTGTGGGAGACAGGGGCCAGACCTCCAGCAGGACAAAGTGGTTTTAGACAGGATTTGCCAGGCTGTCTTCTCCTGAGACCCTCTGTGCTGGGGTGGGTGGGCAGAGAAAATTTCATCTGCCCAAGCACGGGCAGTGAAACAGAAACAGTAAAAGGTCAGGAGCTGTGTTGGGTTCCTCCTGGCAGGGTGCAAAGTCAGGGGGACTTTTGGCTGGAGAGAAGTAAAAGCGGAGCTGCTGGAGAGAGAAATGGCAATGGGAACAAAGCAGCTGCAGTGCTCGTGCCCTCCCTTGGTGGCTGTGGTCCTGGCATGGTGACAGGGACTGGGGCTGGGTGGAAGGACAGCACTGACCACCAGGACAGCAGCAGGAGGTGAAATATGCCTCTCCCAGAACCTGCTCCTGCCCCACACCAAACCTTCCACTGCCCCACCTCGCATCCCTTTTCCTCAGTCCCTTCATGTCCAGGGGTGAAGCTTGGATGGCTCAAATTCCATCTGTGGCTTCACAGGCACAGGCTGGGAGAGGGAAACCAGGCACCCCAACAGCAAAATGATCCTGACAAAATGCTGAAGCTCACATCCTGGGGGTTGCATCCAAGGAAAGGCTTCATCTACCTTTAAAGCTCCTCAGCTGCCTTGTGAAGGACTCTGCTCCTGGGCTGAAGGGCCATGGTTATGGTTAACCCTGCTCCCTCCCTGCCTCAGCTTCCCTTTTGTAAAGTTGGAGGAGATAGAAAGGAAAGAATCCCCCAGTCTCCTCTTGTGCCTGAGGATTTTTATGGCTGTGCTGTGGGGTTGCTTCCTGTTCCACAAGTCTTGGAGGAGAGCAGGGAGGCCAGGCAGTTGTTCTGGAGCTCATCCATGTGTCCGTATGTGTCTGCCTGTCCCTCCTTGTGTGAGTGCAGCACCTGTGGCTGTCCCACACCTTCTGAAAAGGGGTCTTGAGTCCAGAACCACCCCCAGCTGGGGTCTATGCACTGAGAGAGGGGCAATGCTGGGAGCCAAAGGGTTTTGAGGCAGTTTTTGGACAGCAGCCCCATTTTGGAGGCTCAGCCCTGTGTCTCGGGGCAGGAGGTGCAGGCAGTGTGAGCAGCAGGGATTATGGCTGCTATAAAAAGCAGCAGCATCTCTCCTCTCTGCTCCCTAAGGCGCTTAGGGGAGGAAGGAGGGAATTAAAGAGCAACCTCCTGTGCTAAAGTGATGCAGTCAGAATAGCCTGGCACACTCATGAGACCCCCTCCTCCTCAGCATCCCCAAAAATCCTCCCCTGAGCAAAGAACCCCCTCCATGCTCTTCTTGGGTCCCTGCTGTTGGATCACCAGAAACTTGTCCCCTGTTCAGAGGTTGTGGGGGGCAAGGAGAGGGCTGAGGAGGACAGCTGAGCCAGGAGAGGGGGTCCTGGTGGGCAAGAGGGGCACACGAGGATGCTGTACCATTTGCACACCCCAAACGAAAACGTGGAGCACTCCCCCATCCTCACAGCCTCACTCATCTGCCTGCTCCTGTCCTGCCAGCCTGCTTCAAAGGTCCCTTGAGGATACTGGTGATGCCCTCCAAAATGCAGTCAGCTGCACGGGTGCATGGCTGCACAGAAAAACACTGAGGTTTTGGAGGGACAGGGGTTGTTGCAGCCAAAAGCCATGCTCTGCCTCCAGCAAAGGAGGCTAAAAGGCTCCGTGGTCTTGGGACTCTCTGACAGGCTCACAGTCAGCCTCAGAGCTCAGCATTAGTGTGGGCTCTGGTGACATGTTTGGGGACAAAGCCGGGGGGAGGCAGGTGCCAGATGATGGCAGCGATGCAGGGATGGGGGGATGAGAAGGAAGGTGGTGTGGGGAGCAGCTGTCCTCTGTGGTATTCCCCGTTCGTGGCAGGTTCCAGTGGGGTGGGTTCCAAA